GAGTCTCATTGGGTTTAACGTAAGATAGAGTGAGTCTATAAATACGTCAGTGATCAAGTCATTAAATAAAATTGGCTTCTCACCTTTGTTTTTCACCCTCCTTCTCTCACGCCCCACCCCAGACCTAACTATCGTGATTAATGATGAGCAAACTGACTCAAACCTCTGCATTTATTTTAACTGAGCTAAGCCATGGAGGCTTGATATGACCCTATTAATGTTAATCAGCATTAACTTAATGTAACAGCACCGTAATGCGTAATCTTCAAGTAATATAAAACCAGGGGATAAAGTCTAAAAACTTTAATAGCATTCAGAAAAATCTCTCTCCTCCCCCACCACGCACCCCTTGCCCCAAAAAGCAGTAAACAATATACCACCTCTTGTGTGTGTGTGTGTCCATATACTGTAACAAAGGAAACAAGTCTATTGAACCTTCTGCCCACACCCCACCCCCACAGGTTGTGCTAATTCCTATTTAAACAAACTCACAAAAGGGTGCATTCTTCGTGTGGAAAATATTATAGAGAAGGAAGTCCTTGTTTCTATTTAAGGATCTGGAAACAGAGCAAAGAGATTAAGTTCCAGGGGGGTATTCTCTCTCTCTCTCTCTCTCTTTCTGTGTATTTGTGTGTGTGTATGTACCCTGTTCAACTCAAATTGCAAACAGCTATAAATGGGAAGAATCAGAGAAAGGCAAAGACTATTGAAGAGAACAAATAGACAGCATGGGAAAGCATATGTAAATTAAAGGGTGACAATACACCTTGAGCTGATTGCTTAGAGGATCCTCCGCTCACTCACTCACCCACCCACCCACCCTCCCCAAGCCAACCCTATTGACTCACTTTTTAATTGTACACAATGGCAGCAGCTAAATCGTTTTCTATCCCTCCTCAACATGTTTCCCTGACAACCTGCCATCGATTGTTAGTGAATTGTATGTAGAGAGAAGCCCGGAGTCTGGTATGATTGTAAATAAAGGATAACGGCGTTGTCATTAGAAACGCTCAGATGTCCTAAACTGGCTTAAATTGGAAAGCGCCTTAAGCCCTTTAGCGGCGTGTGGGCATTAGATTAAGGTGCAGCTATTCTGCCCCCTGTTCTAATTGCAGCGATCACTTTAACCTTGTGTTTGTTTTATTTAAAGTGGGACAGATAAGTGGGTGTGTACCTTAAATATTGAGAGGTGTCAGAGCCTCCAGGCTTTGCATTCCAAAGCAACCTGATTGCTACCATCTCGCAAAAAAATTAAAGGATTAAAGTAACTTGTATACACACACACATATATATATAAACCATCACTTAACACAAATGCAGATCCATATGTAAATCTGTGGAGTGCAGTAGTATAATAATTAGTGTGCTAGTCTCACAAGCTAGAGGACCCGGGTTCAATTCCAAGACGGGGCAAAATCTTAGGCAACTTTCCTTACTCCACACAACTTTGTTTCCCTAACAGTAAGTAGGAACCCAGTTGTTAGTCGATTTGCAGATCGCTTTCCAGGGGTAATAATCCCTCAATAATATTTGGTCACTCAATCCATGACTGTTTGTGGGACACTGCTGTGCACAATCGATGCTGAGTTTTGCCCACAAAATACACAGTCAATTCACTTTACGGTATATTCCGTGAAGTGCTTTGAGATGTATCAACAGGTGATAAGACACTATATCAAATGCAAGGATTATTATCATATTATTATTAGTCTATAATTCACTTACAGATATGGGGTTACTACACTTTACAGCTAATCCTGAAAAGCCCGTTGAGACGTTTTGATGACGTGGTAAGTGCAAGGATTATTATTTTATTGCTATAATTGGTTCAAATAGCCCAGACAGTTGTGACATTGAATGAGGAATAAAACAACACACCTGCGTATGTGTTAGCAATGTGTCAGCCTGGCTCAGTTGACAGCACTCATGCTTCCCAGCCAGAAGGTTGTGGGTTGAAATATCATGTTCAGACTTTGAGCTCGTTGTCCCAGACTGACATTGCAGGACAGTGCTGGAGGTGTGCTGCATTTTCAGAAGTGTCGTCTTTACACGAGGCATAAACCCAATGTCTCGTCTGGCTGTTCAGGTGAATGTTAAAGATCCAGTGAGCATGTCTTGAATAGAATAGGGAGTTTACCCCAATATCCTGCCTCCAATCCCCAAGATAAAATCTGTTATTCACTTCACGGCTGTTTGTGGGACACATTGATGAACCAATTGGACGCTGTGTTTGCTTACATTCACAGCATCTAATTTGCACATAATAATAATCCTTGCATTTGATATGGCACCTTATCACGTCGTTGAGACATCTCAGAAAGCTTCACAGAATATATTGACTGTATTTTGTGGACAAAACGCAGCAGACAATTGTGCACAGCAGTGCCCCACAAACAGTCATGTAGTGAGTAACCACATTTTTTTTAAGGGATTATTACCCCTTGGAAAGTGATCCGTCAATACACTACTTACTGCAAGGTCTCTACTTACTGCAAGGTAAACAGCAATGTGTGGACTAAGAAAATTTGCCTAAGGATTCGTCCCACTCAGCAATCGAGCTCGGGTCCTCTAACTTGCGAGTTGAGTGCACTGACCACTAGGCTACTGGACTCCATATAGAAGTATCCCACCTGTGAATGCAGGTGTGGAGTGTGCAGATCAGTGCTTGAAGCCTGAATGAGATCCAGCAAGACTGTAACATGCAAGGGAACAAAAGTGTGCAAGTGATTGCCTGGACAGTCTCGTTGCATTACTTGGAGGATCTGAAAGAAACTGCCACGTTATTTAGTGAAGCACTAAAGCACTAAAGTACATTTTAACGGGCTTTATGATTCCCTTAAGTGGCCATGTATAATAATAATAATCCTTGCATTTGATATAGCGCCTTCTCACTTCTTCGAGACATCTCAAAGCGCTTCACAGAAGATTCTGTAATGTGAACTGACTGAGTATTTTGTGGGTGAGTGCATGGGCATGTTTAAGATGCAAATCCATAAATTCATAAACCTGAGCACTACCAAATCTGAGTGGGGAAAAAATAAGGTAGTAGTGTGGTGAGGCACTAATGGGGTATGGAAAGAGAGAGAGAGAGAGAATGATTGGAAAAAAAGCAACTTATTCTTCTCACGGATGAATTAATTAAAGATAAAATCCTATTAGATCATCAATTAATAATGTATCGCCGTTTCCAGTGAAGGCTACAGACACACCATGTACCTAATGGGCCCTGATTGGCAAATAGGTTTCCCTCTGGGGAGATTACCACTGACAAACTGTTAAGACAAGCTGCTCAGTAATTGCTTTGGATGGTTAACAAGGGCATTTGTCGTTCTGCAGCGCCTTTCCCCCCCCTAAAGCCCCTTACTTACATCACTGCCGATTACAAGCAGCAAAGTAATTACTGAGTATCTGTGTGTGTGTGTGTGTGTGTGTGTGCTCCCGGTACTGTTTCAAGCGCTCCGAGACACTGCCCTGCAGGAAGGACGCTATATTTCACCCACGAGGGCACGTTTCGCCCGCAAAATACACAGTCAATCCACTTCACAGTATATTCTGTGAAGGGTTTCAACGTTGAGACATCTCAACGACGCGATAAGGCGCTATATCAAATGCAAATGCAAGGGTTATTAATATTATTGTATGAATATAAATTGCTGTTGTATCTGCCAGAACTTTTTGGAGATTATTATTATGGTAAACAAAAAAAAGCAAGGGGGAAAAAGATACACATAGACACACACATACACTTTAACACCACATTTTCTGACTCCAAAAGCGTGAGAAAAGATAACCTCCTTCCCTGAATTGTTTGGTCTCAGTTTCGTTTTAATACCAGTAAATTTCCGTTTCGCAGGTTCCTGGATTGTATTTTTTGTTGAATTCCATGCAAAAGAAGCTAAAACTATTTGGCTCCCTGACTCCCATTCGATTTGGTCTCGAAACAACGAATGATGAGCGTATAAAGAGCGCAATTTACTTCTAATTTCGCTACACGATGGGAATTTGATGCGTAAACGCTTTTCTCTCTCTCTCTCTCTACACAAATAATGTTAACTTTCTTTAAGAAGCTTGAACCTGAGTAAACTTTAACTAAAAGTAAAGTCCAGCCGACAAGATGTAATACTCATCAGTGTGACTTAAGGGACTCCTAGGCACAGTGTCTTTGCACTAATTTATTTCTGTTGGATGAATAAATAAATCATACACTGATAATCTGTGTGTTTGTAAGAAACATGCAATTGTCTGTCTCATCTTGTTCTGAGTTAACAAGGTTTGCTCTAGTCTAATCCCTAGCCCTCCCTTTTTATCCCCCCACCCCCAACACACACACACACAGATACACCAATTCCTTTATCAACACGACAGCTGGGAGACGCAAAGACTTCTCTTAAGATTTATAAGGGAAGGCACATTGCAGAGAGAGGGGAGAAGTTTGGAGGAAGGCGGATTGAAGACTGATTTAACTAGAGGAGGAGGAGAAGGAGGAGGAGAGAGGGCTGATTACTTGATACTTGGCTCTCAGTTGTGCATGGGTGACACTGGCTCTGAGCTGAGAGCAAGCCTGTCGTGTCAGTCTCCCTTTACAGGCAGTTATCAACGAGGACAACTTTGTATTATTTTCCCTATTATTGCAGCACCTCATTCTAAGTGAGAACTTTCCGCAATTGCTTGTGGCCAAGATTATTGAGACTGGGGACGAGAGAGATAGAGAGAGAGAAAAAGAGAGAGAGAGAGTGAGAGAGAAAGAGAGAGAAAGAGAGAGAAGGGGAAAAAGCTGGAGAGACAAGATAGATTTTGCAACAAGAAAGGAATAGGGAGCATTAAAAAGCAATAAGATCGATTCAGGAGAGAGAAGGGGGAAAGAAAGTGACAGGAACAGCAATCGCCACTTCACTGTAAAGGTGATTGATTTATTCATTGATTGGTTGATTAATTGATTGGTTGGTTGATTGATCAATTGATTGATTGGTTAATTGATTGGTTGATTGATTGGTTGATCGATGCGGTTCCTCGGCTCAGGACAAGCCATGGAGCCAAGCTTGTCGCCTTCTGGCAACTTGGGAAGGAGCTCAGGGAGCTCGGCTTCCCGGGTGCACAGCATCGAGGCGATTCTCGGCTTCAGTAAAGACCATCCCAGCCCCCAGACCATCTCCAGGGCATTGGAAACCACAGGCAAAGGCAGCAGCGCCCGGGACTGCTTCAACCCTGTGTCCAACTTAAAGTATGAGCCAGAGAACTCACCAAGTTTCGAAGGTAAAATACTTTATTTTCTCTCTTTCTTTCTCTCTCTCTCTCTCTCTCTCTCTCTCGCTCTCTGTACGTAATATAAATCTCTTTCTCTCTCTCTCCATGTATATATAATATATAATAATAATCCTTGCCTAATTTCCTTGCCTAATTTGATGCATAAACGCTTTTCTCTCTCTCCCTCTCTCTACACAAATAATGTTAACTTTCTTTAAGAAGCTTGAACCTTAAGTTCTCAAAGCGCTTCACCGAACAGACTGCAAATTAAGTGTGTATTTGTGTGAGCGAAACAAATATAATATGAATCAAATCAAAGTACAGCATCAGATTTAAAGTATAGGTGAAAGAACTCACCAAGTTTTGAAGGCAAAATACTTTATCCTCTCTCTTTCTTTCTCTCTCTCTAGATATATATGATATCAATATATATTTACAATGAATTTAATAATAATAATCCCTGCATTTCATATAGCACCTTATCATATCATTCAGACATCTCAAAGAGCTTCACAAAAGTGTGTAAAGTGAATTGACTGTGTATCTTGTGGGCGAAATTTGATATGAATGTGAACATTAATTTAAATACAATCAAAATACGCTTTACAGTATGTCCTGTGAAGCGCTTTGAGGTGTTTCAACAATGCGATAAGGGGTTATATCAATATAAGGAATATCATTTATATATTTGAATAGTATGTACAGTATGATATAGTATATAGGTAGTTTGGGACATATGTGCATGCGACTGCCAGGAAGGTGGAAAGCGAACTAGGTGGACCGTGATCTTTTTTGTCTAGCATTTCTTATGTTATTAATCATGATATATAGGTAAATATGAATGTATATAATGTATCATTTTGATTCTGAACGTAGTTCAAAACTGAGTCATTTGTTTTATTTACCTTTTTTCCTGTAAAAACGCATTAATGGTTTAATAATAATAATAACAATAATGTTTGCATTTGATATAGCGTTGTATCACATTGTCAAAACATCTCAAAGAGCTTCACAGGATACTGTAAAGTGGTTTGACTGAGTATTTTGATTTAAAATAAACACATCAATGGGTTTATTAATTTAAATAAAATGCATTAACAACAATAATATTCCTCGCATTTGCTATCACGCCTTATCACATCTTCAAGACATCTCAAAAGTGCTTCACAGAATGTAGTGTAAAGTTAATTGACTATATATTTTAGGGCGAAATCCAGCAGCCAATTGTGCACAGCAGTGTCCCACAAATGGTCACGGATTGAGTGACAATTTTTTTTTAAAAAGGAATTATTACCCCCAGAAAACCAATCCCCCAATTGACTAACAACTGGGTTCCTACTTACTACCAGGTAAACAGAGGCGTGTGGAGTAAGGAAATGTTGCCCAAAGTTTCACTCTGCTGGGAATTGAACCCAGATCTCTCGCTCGCAAGGCGAGTGCTCTAACCACTGAGCTACAGGACTCCCGTAACGGATTTAATTTAAACACAACAAATCTATTTGATTTCACAGCGTTGCTTGAGGTTTTTGTTGTATAAAAGTTTTTTTTATTGGCAGGCGTGAGTAGTAAATTGCTAACTTTTAAAGTAATCCATGAATGAAATGTAGCAAACGTGTAATTTTTTTTGATAGGTTGCTTAGAAATGTTACGCCGAAATATAAAGAATAAGTTTACTAAACTTTAGATTCTAATTTCTTTGGCCGATTTTACAATGTAAAATAAAAAGAGAGAAAAGGGTTTTAAAAGCAAGAGGTTAAAGAGCGAAGGGTTAGAAACTAAGTTATTCGTTAAATTTAACAATGCAACAATAATAATCCTTGCATTTGATAAAGTGCCTTATCACATCATTGAGATGTCTCAAAGTGCTTCACAGAATATACTGTGAATTCATCTTGTGGGCAAAACTTTGGAATAATATGAAACCAAAATAATAATAAAATCGGTGTCCAATTCTTTCCCGGTTGCAGATTCGTTTTGTTCGAGCAACGGAGAAGGGGTGCGGGCAGACTTAGCGAAAGTAAAACACGGAGGAGAAAATAAACAGGCGAACGAGGAACAGCCCAAGAAAAAGCACAGGAGAAACCGCACCACCTTCACGACCTACCAGCTGCACGAGCTGGAGCGAGCCTTTGAGAAGTCACATTACCCTGATGTGTACAGCAGAGAGGAGCTCGCGGTGAAAATCACCCTCCCCGAGGTCAGAGTGCAGGTGAGAGTCAGTCCCCACCCATCCCTCACTGCTCATCTTGTACACACAACAACAACAACTTGCACTTATATAGCACCCCTCACACAGGATCTCTGTGGTGTGTATGTGTGTGTGCTGTCATGCCTTCAGCCCAACTAACGCTGGTCTATCCAGTGCCTTGGGATGTCCTCACAACGTGAGAGACGCTATACCACAACAACTTGCATTTATATGGCGCCCTTCATATTGGGTAGCGTCCCAGAGCGCTTAACAGTGGCGGAGTCTGACCCAGAGCCGGGGGGAGGGGGGGAGGAGAGGAAGGGGGGAGGTGACCGTGAGCACGATCAAAAAGGAAGGTCTTTTGGTGGGATTTGAAAGTGAGGAGGGAGGGGGCAGGGCAGTGGGATTTGAGGAGAGAGTTTCAGGGCATAGAGACTGAAAGCACGAATGTAATTTGTTGTTGTTGTTGCACACAGTGTATTTGTATGTGGTGTGTGTGTGTGTATACTTACCTGCCTTCAGCTCCCCTGTCCCTCACTGCTGTCTGTTACACACAGTGAGTGAGTGAGTGTGTGTGTATATGTGTAAGATTTCCTGCCTTCAGTGAGTCAGTATGAAAAATCCACAGGCTCAAAGGAGCAGATGCTGGAGCTTTTGGAAAAAGGAGGGCGAAACAAATGGAGTTAGTTGAATAGCTAATTGGGTTAGTTGGAATGATATTTAGTTGGTTGGATAGTTAATTGGATAGATAGATGGATGGAAAGTTGCCCAAGTCTCTGCAGATTGCTGGGTGCAATGATAGGCAAAGTTACCAAAGTTTTATTTCAATCAAGTGTCATTCCCAGCCGATCCATTCCGTTCCCTCCCCCTTAAAATCCTCACAGGGGTTTGTGTAACGAGTCTGTTGATTTTCGTTGTCGCTATTTGTTGTGATGTCGCAAACGCTGGTTCCATCTTGAAATGACTATTTTACCCCTCTTTTTTTGGTCCTTAAACTCCCCGAATGTGGCGCATTTCCTACAGGCTCTGATTGTCACACGGGCGAAAATGAGCAAAATTCGCAACGCGTTCAAGGTGATCACTGATCACAAGGGATAATTATCGTATCGAACGGGTTGGGAATCGCTGCCTTGTGCCCCAGCAATCCCGAGCAATAGTTTATTTTCGATATCGAAATTTCCTTTTTGCAAATATCCACTTTAAAAAAAAGTTCAGTGGATTTTTGCGGTATTTCCATTCGGACCCGCAGATACAGTATGAAAGTTGCCAAGTGTATATCTCGTACCGAGAGTCGTGTAAGTCGTATCATTGCCTGAATTGAACGTTTTGAACCAAAATCAGGAACATCAAAGTTGTGATACTTTTGTGCTAATGTGATTCTATAACTTTGAAGTTTGTCTTGTGGTGTTAAAAAGAGCGCAAAATCTAAATTGTCTCAGCTCTCCACTGTTTTCCTGATGGAAGAGAGTTACGAAAACTGAGGCACATTAACCTGGTTAGTAAGTTCCTTAAAATGCGCTTTTGCCAGTAGCTACAAGCGTTTGCGAAAGCGTGTTAAAATATTAATCATTACTCTGATCTAATAATATCAATTATTAATTAATATTAATCATTATTATAATAATATTGTAATTACAATAATAATCAAGTTATTATAATAATAATTAGTAGATGATTGTTAGGCTAACATCTGAGAAATCATATAGAAAAGGCGAGTTTATCTTTTAACGGGGAAAGACTCATATATATCAATCAATAGCCTTTTTTTTTTGAACAAAACAACCGATAGTGAACTAAACCGGGACACGTTAACTCAAACCGAGTTCATTCACGCTACGCAGTCACAAGGTGCTCTGAGTCGCTTGCAGTGGTATATTGACAGAAGCTTGAGAATGCAGCCAAAAATTTTGGTACAAAGTGGAGATTGACCCCTCCAGAAAAGCAATGGGGTTAATGGGGTTATGGGGTTAATTTGATGGGTTAATATCTAATAACTAATAATAATTATCAATGAAGATTGATTGAGGATTGAAGCCCAAACCCCCCAAAAATGCAATAGTAAATTAAAATAGTGTAAAAAAAAGTACCTATACAGATATATAGTATATAATATGTACATCATAGATTATTGTACAATGTATACTACATTATATATTGTTTGTGTGTATATTGTGTGTGTATATGTGTATTAATAATTATATAGGTAAATATCAAGTGTTACGGTTAGAAAACCATTGGAATATTGGAATAATCTATTGTCTGCTTAATTTTTTTAAACTTATTCCCTGACTCTAGTCTGATTTATTTAAAGTTATTGGTAAGCTCTCGCTATATAAGGTGTGTGCACATGTATAAGTAGTACAGTTGTGCATGTACGAACTCAAGACAATTTAGTTGAAGTTTATTGCAAATTAGAAAAACTGATCCCTTAGTTTTGAGGCTTGTACTAAGATTCAGTTGTACTTTTTTTCAACTCAACTAAGCCCCATTTTTTTCAAGCCCACGGGGTTTAAACCGTTAAATGCTACAAATCGACTTTGGAAGCCTGTTGGAAATAATTCTCCAAATTATTTGCCTGTCTTGTATACAGAGAAAAAGATTTTTTTTTAAAAAGTCTTGAGTTTTTGTTTAACCCACGAGAGCGCCCTAATTTAGTACATTTGACAAGTAATAATAATGGTTGCAAATGAAATAATTAATGCTGCAATTGAAATAGTAAAACAGAAGCAAATAAACGACTTGTTTCTTTGCTTCTGAATTACCGTTTATTGATAATAATAATAATAATAATAATAATCCTTGCATTTTGATATAGCGCTTTTCACGTCTTCTAGACGTCTCAAAGCGCATCACAGAATATACTGTAAAGTGAATTGACTGTATATTTGTGGGCAAACGCAGCAGCCAATTGCGCACAGCAGTGTCCCACAAACAGCCGTGGATTGAAAATGACCAATTTATTATTGTTTTTTTTTGTTTTTTGGATGGTTTATTATTAGGCGTGTGGAGTAAGGAAACTTGCCCAAGGTTTATTATTCAGGTTATTAATAATTTGCTTCCGAATAATTTGCTTCTGGCTGTCAATGAGTTATTAATATATTGATGAAAGTATAATAATACAATAATTATTATAATTGTTGTATTATTATATAATTATTAATAATTATTAATCATGTTAATAAGTAGCCTGGGATAACCTTGTGGCGTGCACCCCAGCTGCACTAAATATAATTCAGGTTAGAAACAGAGCTACTCCCAGGACCTATAATCCTGATTAATGTTCCAGATTCCCAAAGACTATTCACCAAACACCAATCCACCCGATACAACGTTACGGCGTTTCTCTCCTAAAACTCTGCACTTTATAGTGTGTGTCTACACTATTTGTCTTAATTAGCCATTCATCTGGGAGGAAAGTGATCTTCCCTGTCTCTCTGTCTTCTTACTTGTTCTCTCCCCCCTATCTCTATCTGTCTTTTTTTTCCTGTTTCTCTCCCCATTCTCTCTCTCTCTCTCTTCTTCCCCCCTCGACCACCAACCCCCCCACCCTCTTCTTCCCCACTCCCCTCACCCTCCACTCTCTCTCTCTCTCCCCCCACCAACCTCAAGCCAGGGTTCAAAACTTGAAATTATTTTTCTTTAAAGTAAATAGTGCTACAAATAACTTGAGGGAACTTGTCTTAATTAGCACTTTTACTGAGCCTGGAGACTTGTAAACGATTGGAACTAAGTCTTATTTCTCCCTCCAACTTCGCAAATGGCAAAAAAAAAACTTATTGTTCCTGGAATTCAAATAAGTTTGTTTTATATTTGTCCGATCTGTTCTCAAGTTGTTGGTTGGTCGAATGACAAAAATAGGAAGAGACTAGAGAATAAGAGGCAAATCTTTAAAGTGGGTTGATAAATTGCCTAAACTGTTAGTATCAGTCACATTAAGGTTGATTTGCGTAAATGCGGATCAAGGAATTACAACTAAACCGGACACAATAGAGCTAATGTGATTAAGGTTTTAAATTGGGGGCTTTGAGATACTCTCCCTTACTGGCTTGTGGTTCAGGTCAGTCTCATCAATAATAGCTGTTGGTTCAGAATTGGGGGTTGAGAAGGGGGAAACCCGGTGTATTGCTGGATGAGAAAAATCCCCCTCCTTTCACCTGCATCTCAATAGTAACTTATACTGTGCAGAAGTGGCATTGCTAATAATAATAATCTTTTCACTTGATATAGCACCTAATCACTTCCTTGAGGCCTCTCAAAGCACTTCACAGAATATACATTAAAGTGAATTGACTGTATATTTTGGGGGCGAAACACAGCAGCCAATTGTGCACAGCAATGTCCCACAAACAGTCATGGATTGAGTGATCGATTTATTATTTTGCGGATGAAGCATTGTCGGATGTAAGAATCTCATTTACCCAACTCAGCTTCCCGATAGGAAGGGTTTCTCTGTAAGGTATATGAAGCGGGATAAAGTTTTTAAAAACATAAATGTGAAATCCGTCAACCAATTTTATGCCGTTGCAAATTTTTCCTTCTTCGGTAATGTTCACCACTACATAGCAAAAATGAGTCATAAGGCAAAGTACGATTTGCATTCATGTGGGGCTTTTTAATGTCTATTTGGAGGATGCCCAAAGCGAGAATGAATTTAGCAAAAAATATAGTTTTAAAACCAAAAGGTGTGCCTTTATGTAGTATAGATCAAACCATGTTATTGATTTAAATAAATCTGTCACTTTAAAACAACTTTAGAGAGACTCTGTGGAGACTCTAAACTTGCAAGTTTAGTATCAGCTGTTTGGTGGGGTGGGTGGGGGGGACATCTTAATGAATGGAGAGAGATCTCGAAGCTGAACATATGAAGAGTTAAAGGAGTCATCATGGATTCAAGAAATCACTATTAACTAATCTGGAGTTTCCCCAAAGCTGACACTATCTTAGAGGGATTAGTGGTTAGTGCACTCACCTCGCAAACAAGAGGACCGTAGTTCGACTGCAGCCAGGAAGAAGCCTTACTCACGTTTCCTTACTCCACACGCCTCTGTTTACCGTGGAACTGTGGAAACTAGCACAACACAAGGTGTCAGCCCGTTTCAGTTGGTAGCACTCTGACCTCTCAATCAGAAGGACTTTGACACTGCAGTGATGGGGATACATTGCATTGTTGGAGCCACAGGACTTTGGACAAGATGTTTAGATGAGATCCTGCCCATCTGTTTTGGTGGATGTTAAAGATCCCACATCACTATTCGAAAAAAGAAGGGAGCTTCTCCTAGTATTCAGCTCAACAATCCCTCGGATAAAATTGGTCGCCATTTGTGGACAAATTGACTGCTGTGTTTGCCTACAAAATACACAGTCAATGCACTTTACAGCAAAAATTGCAAAGCGCTTTGAGACATCTGGACGACATAATAAGAGTCTGAATGCTTTCTCTCCGTTTGTGAAGATGTGGATTTCTCTGCTCTAGAAAGTTGTAGAGACCGAATCAGCAGTGATGTTTGAAAGAGAGATAGACAGATACTTGGTTCATAGATATGTTAAGCGGTTTGATACAACAACAACAACAACAACTTTATATAGCGCCCTTCAAGTGGGAGAGGGTCTTGGAGCATTTAATACTGGCGGAGCCTGATGCCGAGCTGCGGAGAGGAAGAAGGAGACCAAAAGCATAATCAAAAAGGAAGTTCTTCAGTTGTGATCTGAAAGAGTGGAAGGAGGGGGCAAGGGCAGAGGGATTGGGAAGAGAGGCAAAGTGGCTGATAAGGCAGGACATTGAGATTAAAAGATCAGCCAAGGTGGAACAGGGCTGTGAGCATGTGAAATGCAGTGCTCTAGAAGGATATAGTTTGCCTTTAAATACACAGTCTCTAGTCCACTCAGCATTTGCATGTGAATCGCTTTGAAACGTTTAAATGTTATGGGCGCTACATCAAATGCATGGATTATTATACTGTACTTGCAGAATCATTTGAGGCCTTTAGGCCATTAAGAGATAATGGAAGGTAATCAACAGAGAATTAGGATTAAAAGACCCCAAACTACTACAGATTCAGCAATGGAGCCCTGTAGCTCAGTTGTAGGCGAGAGACCTGAATTTGATACCCAGTAGGGCGAAATGTTGGGCATGTTTCCTTACTCCACACACTTCAGTTTACCTGTAAGTAGGAACCCGATTGTTAGTCGATTGGCGGATCCGGGATAATAATTTCTTAAAAAAAATTAGTCACATCAATCCACGACTGTTTGTGGGACACTGCTGTGCGCAATTGGCTTCCGCGTTTCGTCCACAAAATAAACAGTCAATTCACTTTGCAGTATAATCTGTGAATCGCTTTGAGACGTCTCGAAGATGTGATAAGGTACTATATCAAATGCAAATGCAAGGATTATTATTATCAATGGTGGGACTGATACGATAATGATAATCCTTGCATTTGATAGCATCTTATCACCTTGTCGAGATGTCTCAAGGCGCTTCACAGGATTTTACTCTGAAGTCCAGTGAAAGTGTGTTTTGTAGGCAAATGTACAGCCAATTTTCACCAAGCAATGTCCTACAAACAGCCATGAAGTGAATGACCTTTTTTTTAAATCAAGACCGAGGCTCTCCTGTCGGGCTCCTGTCAGCGCCTCCTCACCTCAGGCACTGACAGTATCACCATCCATGGTTGCACACTTCACCTTACTAAGCCAGTCCAGAACCTTGGGGTCTTGTTTGACCCTCAGCTATCCTTTCTACCCACATCTGCGCCATGACCCGCTCTGCCTTCCCCCACCTCTGCAACATTGCTCGGGTCCGCCACTCTATCACACCGCAGGCTGCCGAAACTCTCATATATGCATTCATAACATCAAGGTTCGACTATGCAAACTCCTTGCTTATCGGCCTCCCCAACTCCTCCAACCATAGGCTGCAGATCATCAAGAAATCTGCAGCCCATGTCCTCTCCCACACCAGGCTCCGTGACACATCATCGCACCATCCTCACCCGACTCCACTGGCTTCCCATCACACAGAAGATACAGTTTAAGATCCTAGTCCTCACCTTCAAAGCCCTCCATGGTCTTGCTCCCCCCTACCTCTGCAACATCCTAATCCTCTACCATCATGTAGCTCAGTAGTTAGAGCACTCGCTTTGCAAGTGGGAGACCTGAGTTCAATTCCAGGCAGAGGGCGAAACCTCGGGCAAGTTTCCTTACTCCACACAGAGCCTAATAATAATCCCTCCAAAAACAATAATAAATTGGTCATTTTCAATCTACGACTGTTTGTAGGACATTGCTGTGCGCAATTGGCTGCCGCGTTCGCCCACAAATATACAGTCAATTCACTTTACAGTGTGTTCTGTGAAGCGCTTTGGGACATCCTCCTGATGTGAAAAGAGCTATATCAAATGCAAGGATTATTATTATTATTATTATTATCCTGCCTGCTCCCTCCGCTCTGCAGGCTCCAACCTGCTTCACATCCCTGCCTCACCCACCCCAAAATTGGTGGGCAGGTCTTCTGCCACTCTGCTCCCACCCTTTGGAACTCCATCCCTCAGTCCCTCTGCCTCGCCTCCTCCCTCAACACCCTCCTCTTCGACCGTGCGTTTGATCACCCTGCTTCCCCGCCTGCCTTCCACCCTTCCCAAGCCCAACACCCCAGCTCGGGTCTGAAACACTGACTGTCCAGCACTTTGGGACTTCCTCCCAGCATGAAAAGTGCTTTACAAATGTATTTTTGTTGTTGTTATTATTTCAGGTGTGGTTTCAAAACAGAAGGGCCAAGTGGAGGAGGCAAGAGAAGCTGGAAGCCAGTTCAATGAAGTTTCAAGATTCACCCATGCTCTCCTTCAACAGATCTCCTCAGTCTTCCACTATAGGCACCATTAACAATAACCTTGCATTGGATCCCTGGCTCACGTCACCGATAACAAGCACAACTACCCTACAGAGCCTTCCTGGATTCATGTCCACCACCCAGGGTCTCCAGAGCAGCTATACTCCACCACCATTCTTGAACTCTCCACCTATGACCCACACCTTGCAGCCCATGGGCACAATTGGTTCCCCGACCTTCCAATGCGGACCTCCCTACATGGAAAAGTTCCCTCTCGAAGATGCAGACCAGAGAAACTCCAGCATAGCTTCCCTGAGAATGAAAGCGAAGGAACACATCCAATTCATTGGGAAAAGCTGGTAGACAATATGACACATTGCGATGGCACTAGTAGAACGATATCAATGATGCCCACAAGCAGTCTTGCCCGCAGATAATCCTGACCAAAGTACAGGAATAGAGAAAGGTTACATTAAATATTAAATTGATGGGAATTATTAAAGAAACAACTTTGATTTAATTGCATTTATTTTTGTACTGATGTTAATTTTTCATCCTAATTTTGTGTCACATTAGAAAGTAAATAGTAGTTTGCGAATTTAATATACAGGGTAAATTGTAAATGTAGTATTTCAAAGCCATTTTAATCCCTCCCTCCTCTCCCCCAGTTAATGATTGAGCATTGTATAGTCGGTGGGATTGCCATCGATGATAAAGTGAATTGATAGTGAACCACGAAAAATTCAAAACCAAATTGAAAAAACTTTCTTTCTTGAAATGAGTGAATATTAAAAATATTGAATATTGTAACTAACACCAACACAATGAAAATATACATCAGGTCAGGAGGACATCCCAAGGCACCGGACAGTCAAGGGTTTGCACCCTAGCTGCGGGCTGGAGTCAAGAGAGGCAGAGGAGGGCAAGGGGGATGGATGGTGGTGGGAAAATGACTGAAGGTGCGGTCGAAGAGAAAGTCTTGATACAGGCCTTGAAGGAGGCAAGGGATGGGGCAAGGCAATACTACTCGAGCTTGAGAGAGCAAAAGAAGAAAAAAAAATTTATTGGCAAATTTCAGATGTTGATGTGTGTAACGCAACAACAAACAACAACAACAAAGTTACAGTTATAGAGCGCCTTTCATGTCAGGAGGACGTATTACACCAAGAAGCACAATTGTGCCACTAGGATTAATTGAAGGCATGGGTTAAGTTTCGCTGACTTGAATGCAAGGTTTGAGTAACAACAGCCACAATTTCCATTTATATAGCGCCTTTTTCATTGTAAAGGTGTATCAAAGCACTTCATGAAACTTTACAGAGGTAGGGCAGGGCGGAGCGAGCTGTGGAGTTTTATAAGGGGTTTAGATAAATACCTGAAGAGGAGAAATATAAAAAGGTGTGGTGGATAGACAGGATGGACTAAATGGCTTGTTTTTTCAAAGCCAGCAAAGGCATGATGGGCCCAATTGGCCTCCTTCTGTGCTATAAATATCTATGGTTTGGACACTACATTTGTGTAGTCCCAAAATATATTGGTTAGTTTGCGAGCCTCACAAGCAAGAGGGCCCAGGTTCGATTCCTGGGCAGGGCAAGTTTCCTTCCTCCACACTCCTCTGTTTACCTAGAAGTAAGTAGGAACCCGGTTGTTAGTCGATTGGGAGATCGCTTCTCAGGGGTAATAAAGACCTGTTGTGCGCAATGTCACCCACAAAAAATATCCAGTTAATTCACTTTACAGTATATTCTTTGAAGCGCTTTGAGACGTTTCAATGCTATATCAAATCTAAGGATCATTATTATTATCCAAAAAAAGCATAGTTCCGTTTACTTTCTCAAAAATAGAGCAAGCACACAGTCACTACACTTTACGGAAACTCAATGAAACTCAGTAAATGTCTGAGACATTCTGGTGTATGAGCTTCATACCAAATCTAAGGATTATATTGTTTCTTTTCACTCAGTTGAGTTCTTATCTCTGCGGTTGGTAATGTCTGATACACAACTTTGCATCTGCCGCTTGTATGTAAATGTATATATTTATGGGTTTTTTATGATGTGTCTCTATTTCCGATAATAAATCAAATATAACATTTGGTTCTGTGGATCTGTCTATTTTTGTTTCTTCCAAACTACTTAATTCACTTTGTCTTTGTGAAGCGCTTTCGTTCTGTCCAAAAGCAGGCTGTAAGGACAGACGGAAAAGGGTTGCGTTTGCCTACAAACACCTCCTCTTCTACCATGCCTTTGGGAACTCTCCTACCCTCTCTGCCCTCCACACTCCCTGATCCTAATCCTCCCTTGCACGGGTCGAAATCTCTGACTTGGAACGTCCTCCCAATGTGAAAGGCGCTACACAAATGTAATTTTGTATTGTATAAAATACACAGGCACTTCATGCAATATCAAATGCAATGAATATTATTTATTATATACGTATTCTCTCTTGCTTTTACCCAGTGAGATTCCTATTCTTTATGACTCTGCCTTTCTCTGTTTGCCTTTCTTTATCTCTGCCTGACCCTAACCTTACACTGTATACAAGTACTGTGCTGTGTAACACTGGCCTTGTGCTACGGGGGAGTTTCCCTGTTCAGTGTATGTATATGTGTATTAGGCTGCGGATTACACTACCCACAGCAAGTAGATTTGCATATTGACATAGATTTACAAAGATTGTACAGGACGGAAACATGCCATTCGACTAAACCAGTCATGCCAGTGTTTATACTCAACACGAGTCTTCACCAACTCCTTACTCCCTCCTTCTATTCCTTTCTCCATTGCGTGTATATCTAGCTTCCTCTTGGATGCACCTACACTATCTGATTCAACTACTGTTTCAGGCAATGAACTCTATGATCTTACTACCCTCTACAATGAAGTACTGTCAAACTTCTCAGGGGACTGGGCCAAAGTGGCCTTAATATAAGGGTGGTCTCTGAGCAAGCATTCGATGTGTGTGAACACACACTTCGGGACTGGTTGCTGAATAGAGGTGGTTGCTTGAACAGATTTGACTGTAGTTTCTCTTAAATTCTCTTTCAGATTCCTAAGTCACTATCTTATACTTTGTGTCCTAGTGATGACGAGCCCAACCAGTGAAACCACCCTATTTTCGCTACCCTTATCAAACCCTTTTATCATTTTAAACACTTTTATTCAGTCTTCTCTTAAAAATCTCTTCTCTAATGAAAAATGTCCAGTGTTGATCTGCTTCTGCAAAACATCTATACATCTGCATCTACATCTGCAAAACATTTGGAGTCCTGTAGCTCAGTGGTTAGAGCACTCGCTTTGTAAGCGAGAGACCTGAGTTCAATTCCAGGCAGAGGGCGAAACCTTGGGCAAGTTTCCTTACTCCACACACCTAATAATAATCCCTCCAAAACCAAAAACAATAATAAATTGGTCATTTTCAATCTACGACTGTTTGTGGGACATTGCTGTGCGCAATTGGCTGCCGCGTTCGCCCACAATTATACAGTCAATTCACTTTACAGTGTGTTCTGTGAAGCGCTTTGGGACGTCCTCCCGATGTGAAAAGCGCTATATCAAATGCAAGGATTATTATTATTATAGATAAAAAGGGGGAAAGATATACCACAGCAACAAACGACAGTGAGAGACACTGTCTCCATGCTATTAATATCCACACCTGCTTTGCGTCTTTAACAACCATGCTGGCAATGCATGCAATTTTGCACAAGAGCATCACAGGAAATTTTGGTGTAACTGATATCCCAGCCTCAAGTCTACTCCTGCTTTGGAGCCAGATGCAGATAAACTGGCATGTGGTTAAACGGTGTTAAATTACCTGGAGACGTCCTCCTACGTGAAAGGTGCTACATAAATGTATGTTGTAGTTCTACTGTGTGTATGTGTTTGTATATATCCATAGATATAAGCTCTGCAAGGAGTAATAATCCTTCCAAATTTTCGTCACTCAATTCACAACTTTGTGGGACACTGGCTGTGTCGTTTCACCCCCAATATATACAGTCAATCCACTTTGCAATATATCCTGTTAAGCGTTTTGAGACTTCTCAACGATGTGATAAGGCGCTGCATCAAATGCAAGGCTTATTATTTTTATTTAGTTTAGATAAATAGCTTGATGTCAAAATAGCTAATAGCAAGAGGCACATCAGCATTCCCACTGCCAAACTCTGTTTAAAGCTGCTGAGAGTTTATTGTAGTTTAAAAAACATCATCTCTGTTACCGTTTTTGATGGAGCTGAGAATTCTGTAAAGAGCCCCAATTTAGGTGAACTGGGTGCTCTTAACAACCTGGAATCGTGGTAATTAATGTTTCTTATTATGGGAGTAAAGTGGATCCGATCAGCGATGCATTGTGTGTTGCAGACAGTTCAATGAATTGCTTTTAATGTGCTCCACTCATTTGTGGATGGAAGGAAGTGGTGGGGTGTTTGTATGTGTGTGTGTCGAGATAGACAAAGGCTAATGCTTAATTATATTTTCACAATCTGTCTGTATCTCGAGGTTACTGTCAGAGCAAACATGTCACGCTCATTCATGGGGGCACTGTTGAAAAGCGTGTGTGTATGCGGGAGGAGGGGTTGAAAGGGTCTTTTTTTATGACAAATTAGAAACCATTTAGAATCTGTTGTAAGTGGAGGTTTTTGCTGAGCTTCACAAAAACCCATTCATTGGGTCTGATGCATAGGGAATCATAACAATTCTGTGTTCACGTCTCCACTGAATTACATTTCTCTCTCTTTCTCTCTCTTCACTGAGCTCCACATCTCTCTCTCTCTCTCTCTCTCTTTCTCCACCGAGCTCATCTCTCTCTCTATTAAACCCCATATCTTTACTAAGCTTAGAATCATAGAATTTACAGCACAGAAGGAGGCCATTCGGTCCATCGTGTCTGTGCCAGCTTCATTTCTCTCTCTCTACTGAACTCCATATCTCTTCCTCTTGAGCCCTGTGTCCATATAAACAGGATGGGGCTTAATAACAACCCCTCCCTCAGACACTAATGATCACTAATGGCACCGGAAGAAGCTCTCTTTGAACCATTTCGCAGGATTTACTGTGTATTTGTGGGCAAACACAACAGCCAATTTTGACACAGCAATAATAATAATCCTTGCATTTGATATAGCGCTTTTCACATCGGGAGGACGTCCCAAAACGCTTCACAGAATATACTGTAAAGTGAATTGACTGTATATTTGTGGGCGAACGCGGCAGCCAATTGCGCACAGCAATGTCCCACAAACAGTCGTAGATTGAAAATGACCAATTTATTATTGTTTTTGGTTTTGGAGGGATTATTATTAGGCTCTGTGTGGAGTAAGGAAACTTGCCCAAGGTTTCGCCCTCTGCCTGGAATTGAAC